TCGGTACCTGCCCATGAGTTATGTGACTCAGAACGCTTAAGGAAGTTGACTAACACGCAGAAAATTTATGAGTAATGGAGTGAGAATATGGCAGATTTCCATATTTCACTTTTATTGAAGGTTGAGTCAGCCTTTACTAGGAAAATAATTTATATGGTAGTGTTCCACTGGGGAAAGAAATGAAAAGTAGTGGTATGTGTCAAAATGATGATGAATGTATGCCGACATTCATGAAAAAGAATAAGTTTGCCAGAAAATATACACCCCCTACACCAGATTACTTTTCTTCATAACTGTTTCAGGTTCTGTTGTAATGTGGTAAGAAGGTTAGCTGAATTGGACTGGACTCTCTACACCTGCTTTCCTCTGCTGTCCAGGTCCACACCTGACCATTCTACATGCTGTTCTGAACCCAGGAGGCAGTGGCAGCACAGCACAGGGTGGAATGTGGCCCGGTCAGGATATTTGCTACTCCCCCCAAGTGACACCAGTTTCTGGCACAAGCTGTGTCCCTAGCCACTGTAGCAGCTCTTGGCTCTGGACTTCATGGAGCTCTGAGATGAAGACTTTCTATTATTACTTCTTCTGTATGCACCTATGTATTTTCCTTCTTGGTTTGCTTCTCTGTATCCCTGTATGTGTGCATTTAATAGACTCTCCTTCAAATCCCACCTGTGAAGGACTTCTTTTCAGCCAGATGTATTTCCCATTAAGCAAACCCTATGAAATTCTTCTTGGGATGTGGATCTCACAATAAATACCATTAAAATACACTTAAGTTGCATGCTACTTTTCCCAGATGGTTTTAGACATCTCTATCACCATATCCACTTTATTAAAAATGTGCTAGAATAAATGGGACTATCAGATGCCAAGGCAGGGTTTGGTTGCATTTCCCAGATTTCCCTTTCTTTTACATTGCTGATTTGGGGAGGGGCTCAGGAGAGATTTTGGTGGGGGATTTGAAGGAAACAAAACAGTGGTGGTTTTGCAGTTCCCACACATGGTCTGGATCATGTTGTTGTGTGAGGCAGCAATTAGGCCTTCAGCTGCCACTGTTTCACCAGGGTCCTCTTTCTCCTTACTCCATGCCTGGGCCAGCTGTGTGTAACTCGATCTTGAAGGACATCAGATTCTTCAGGACACATAGGTACCATCAAGATCTGAGGCAGTGGGAGCAGATGACAGCCTTCAATCTGTGTGTGAGCTCTAGATTGTTCTTGTTCTCCCCTGTTTGTTTCCATCTTCCCTCCCTGTCTGCCTGTGCTCTAGACCTCAAATGCCAGCATCAGCCACAAGGATGGGAGTGTCACAG